GGAAAATTCGTGTGAGATTAAATTACAACAATTCCCCCACGCGCACTAATTGCGTCGTCTGCTTACTTTATATGATGATAATTTCATTTTCATCCCTAAGCTTTTCACAATAGCACTAAGACCCTTTATTCTCCTATGAAATAATTATGTTGCATGTAGATCCTTGATTAACACTTTTTTCATCTCTAACCTTGCATGGACAAGATCACCTCATCACCATTTTGAATTCTAAGTATGATTTATGAATAATTAATAATGTAAGAATAATATTGTATTACATTTTTATCACTGCAAATTTTAATAGATTGGTGTTTGAAATTAAAAAAAAAAAAAAAAATTGAAAACACTTAACAATACAAAAATTACAATACCAGAGAGGCAAAAATGTAGTGACTTTTATAAGGGCTCAAATCTTACCAATGATAAAAAAGGGGAGTATGAATTTGACCTTGCTACGTCCACTAATATACAAGCTAAGCATTTCGGGACATGCATGTCATCAGTTGAAACACATCTCGCAATTAACTTCTTTCACATATCTCCAGAGCAAGAGCGATGAACATGTCCAATAATAAAATTTCAACTCATGTTTCTCTTATTCCTCCTAAACTACACTCTAACACAATGACTAAATATTTAGAAATATATAAATATAAACCTCTTTTCTCCATCACATCAACGAAAGATAAAAATTCAGTGTATGTAATTTTCACCCTTAAGTCGTATAGACTTAGAATACAATCTAGAAAAAAAAAAAGAAAAAGAAAAAAAGAACGAAAAATTATACTTCATGTTAGTAACTCTAAAGAACCTGAATTTTTGAAAAAATAATGATAAATTTTGACATAATCACAAACAGAATAATAGAAAGATCATTTAATTTTATTGACAACATAAAAAGGCTTAAAATATAGACATCTATGGGTCTATAACATTTTTTTTTTTTTGGAAAAATATATGGGTCTATAGCATATAAATTAAATTTGCTAATATTCTGTAATATCCAAGGATGAGGGGTTGAAACTAAATTATCCAAAAATGGATAGAATAAAAGGGATCGGATGAGGTGCTGTGGTGCATGAACCCGGACGACACTCCACAGCATCAGGACCACTTTGGGCGTGCATGACAAGGGAGGAGATACCACACGCGCTTTGGCCGAGAGCATAGCGATGTTTCAGGCATTAGATGACGATCGAAGTGACACCACCAAATTGCGTCATGCAGTGACGACTCCCATGATTTAACATACTTTTAGTTTTTTTTTTTTTTTTTTTTTTTTAGTTAATCAATATCCACTTACAAGTTACAACTTGTCTTGCCTATCCATCGTCAGGATAGAATCATGGAATATTTCCACTTTACTTTAGATGGACTTGCTTTTCCTATAATATTACTAATTAAATGGTGATTTTTATTTTCCCTTTTCGTAAATTATCTACCTTTTTAATATTTTCAATTCACATGGTTTAAAGATATACAACATGATTTCAATTCACTTCTCTCAAAAGATTGAATTTTTAACCTTAAGGATCTACACCTCGATCTATCAGAATATTTGGGATGATATAAATCATGGTGACGCAATAGTTAAGTAGACATGGTCAAATGCTGATGCGTACAAGGAACCTGTCCACTTTGGACATAATCCCTACACTGTCACAGTCGAAGTTTAAATCTGGACCGCTTCTCTTAAATACTACCTACTGAATCATTGAGCTAAGTCTTTACGGGTATGATTTCAATTCAGTCTCTTTAAAAGAGTGGTGACATTGAATTGACAATTTTACCATTCTCATCGAATATTTAACTTTCTCATTGTATACACCACATATGTGTGAATGGGAAATACTTTGGTATCTCATGTTTTGATACCGCCGTGACCAAACGGAAATGAGGAAAGCAGACACTTCTGAAGTTTTTTTTTTTTTTTTTTTTTTTTCAATTACTTGGTATAATAAAAATATTCTTACATTTTTTTAGGGGTGTGTATAGATAGGAGTACATTCCCGTGAGAATTAGCCATGACTGAAATAGAAATCAATCAAAGTCGTTTATTTAAAAAGATTTAACGGGTTTGAAGCAATTAGAAGAAAAAAAATGTGCTGATATTTTTATAAATAACTCGAATTTTAAAGTGTGTAACACTATAAAGTGCAATTATTAATACTATAAACTATAACTAAACAAAGCTACAGAGTGTATCTCTTCACTTCACTTATACAGTTATACATATGACGTACGCGCTTATGATGTTTTTTTTTTTTTTTTTTTTTTGAAAGCAAGTGGCTTATGATGTTATTAGTCAAACTCTATAGTGTTATTAATTGCATTTTCTTTATTAAAGTTAAAGTTATTTATGAAAAGAGCAAATACCAGCTAAGGTCCTTCGAGTTTGATGGTTTCACCAACTATAGTCCCTAACTTCAGTAATTACCATCCGTAGTCCTCCGAGTTGCGAAATGTGACCCGCTACCATCCTTCCGTTATTTGTTTCCGTCTCAGCCGTAAAAAACGGGGGTAGATATGTCTTTTGACATAAAACAAAACATTATAAATTAAAAAAAAAAAAAAAAAAAAAAAAAAAAAAAAAAAAAAAACGAAGCAGTGATCGACATTCTTCACGTCGGGTTTTGCAGAGTCTTCGATGAGGTGCTCGGCAGCGATGGGCTGCTCCGATTCCAGTGACCAGAACTTCTTCACCTCCATTCTCACCCTCTCCAGAACTCACGGGTGAGACTCCAAGAGCGTCACCACCCACAAGAGAGAAAAAGTAGAAGCGTCCTGCGCCGCGAAGAGGAAATCGAATAAATGCCCGCCGATTTCTTTGGGGTTATAAACAAAATCCCAGGCAGGTTTGGAGAGTTACAGAGACTAGAGATTTTACATCTCTTTTCAAATCACTTGTATGGTGAAATTTCGGGCTAGAAGCTTTTGAGGTTTTCGACAATAGGTTCATCGGAAACCTGCTGGAAAATTTGTGTGCCAACAAGGCTCTGATTTGGATAAACAACGTATGAAAACAATGCCCACAGTTTAGGATGCCGGCCTTGTGCGCCGCCAAGGTATTGCCAATCCAATGTTTCATTTTCAGATTTTTAACTTTCAATCTCTACTATTGCTCTCATCGATCTATTGGGCATTTTCACCATTTTTTTCTTTTGACATCTCCATCTCCATTACTCGGGCGTTCGACTGGCTCACGAACTAACTCGAAGAGTTTATATCTCGGAACCCATCTCAAACCCAAACTCTCACACCTTATGGCAGGGATTGAACTTTAGTGGCACTCAAGTTTTAATGCTCATCTATTTGCTAGAGACTAAAGATAACGTTGACTTTATCGGTGGTTCATGGGGTGAGTTCGCTGACGTATCACCACCCATAGATGAAGGTATTTTTTCAGATTTATTGCTCGGATTTTATGTCTCTTTCTGGTGTTCGAGTTTCTATTAATTTTTCTGGCGTTGGGTGCTTTGTCCGGCGAATGGAATGTTTCCGGCGTGTTCGCCTCTGTTATTTGACCCCTGTATGTGGATGGTGTTTCTCTGAAATGGCGCCTAGAGTATGGACTGCATTGGAGATGCTTGTGGATGTTCCCAGTTTCCGATGGTCCTCGATTTTTCCGGCCATGTTGGGGTGGTTTCGTCTGTGTTAGGGTGATTGCAATGGTGGTGAGCAAAGGTCCGGTGTGTTCTGTTTGTTATTCATCTAAAGATAACGTTGAGAGAGAGAGAGAAATTAAAGAAGAATGAAGGAGAAGAAGGCCCATACGAAAGAAACTAAAAATGAATTATTTATGTCAAAAGACATATCTACCCCTGCATTTAACGACTGAGACGGAAGGAAATCATGGAAGGATGGTAGCAGGTCACATTTCGCAACTCGGGGGACTACGAATGGTAATTACTGAAGTTAGGGACTATAGCTGGTGAAACCACCAAACTCGAGGGACCTTGGCTGGTATTTACTCTTATGAAAATATCATCACATTTTTTCTCTCTCCTCGCTTTTAAAATCATTAGATCTTCCCAGATCAATTGCTCCGAGTGATTCATAGTTATCTCTTATAACAATGCGTTTATTTGATCCAAATCGTGTGTGTGCACACACGTGCATGCATGTGTGTAAGGTTCGGGTGAGAAAAGACCCCACATGTAAAAAGTGAGGACTAATACTATCTATCTGGAAATGGTCGAAGGCTGCTGAAAAATAATGCAAAATATGTGAAGTTAGTTTTATAAATATCACAAATTTAAAAATTTACAATAATTATAAAATTAACCTCATGTTTTATTTACTAAAATCTTCATTGATGAATCCTGATATACTATTGAAATTAGTCCTCACTTCTTATAAGACCATTTTATATTTGATCCAACCCATATATGATTGAGTGAGACCAAATCACCTAAAAAATGTAGACTAATACTAGTAGTTGATCTAAGAACGTGAAAACATGCGGTGATATTTTTATAAATATTATTAATCTTTTATTGCTAAAATTGCACTGAGCAAAATTACAAAATGCATCTGATGATCCGGAGAAGTGCACTCAACATGTGCAATTCTAAAAGTGCATCTTATATTTGTAAAAAGTGCACTTTGTAATTTGAAGTATCTATTAAAATATTTCCATATTTTTTCTATCTTTTACAACTTTAACCATACCACACATTCTTTGGGGGGGGGGGGGGGGGGGGGGTATAGGCTTAGAGCAACCTCAACAATGTAAGATTTTTGGTGATTTTTGCAGTGACAAGTAGGGAAGAGAGAAGGGAAAAGAAAAAAAAAATTAACAAAAATTTTTAAATGAAAAAATAAAAACATTTATTCACGCAACGCACACCTGCAAGTTGCCCTACCTAAACTATAACTTCTAACCTTCTAGTGAGTAATAATTGGCTAAGTTATCTACCATAACTATATTATCAACTAATTGCATCAGACAACCTAGAAATATGCTAACACTATACACAAATCATCTTGAGAGACTGAGATTGAATAATACCAGAAGAACAACACTCTCTTTTTATTTCTTAGAACACCAACACCTGCCCCTTTTTACAAGACTCCATCAGCCTAATGTACACTTGGTATTTTTTTTTCTCCGATCTAATTTTTCTTTTGTGTTCGCTATACGTGGCCATTTTACTATGCCAGTAGTTAGACTCTACAATATAATAAGCGGACAGACTGTTGCTTGGCCTGCGTTGACAATGTACCAAACCAGACATGCTCAACTTGCCTTGAAGCTCATTGGAACAGTCAACTAACCTTGGATTCGTGTTAGCCCTCGGTTTCTTGAGCATTGTTCAGCTTACCTGCCCAGAATCTGTCGCTGTGTACCCCTTGCTGGCAATCGGTTGGGTATAAATCATCTGGAGCGTTGAGAATTAAGAAACAATAATTCATCAGTGATGCTCGGGAATGAAAAAGTCGGAGGATGCTATGCTTTTGTATTGGAAATGGCAAAATGAGTTCAAACATGAAAAGTTTCCTATGTTAACTTTAATGGCTTCCTATGAATGCAGGGGTTTGTATGTAGCTTCACATTGCTGTTTCGTGTGTTTGGAGAACATATATGGAGACAGAACCCAAAAAACACCATTGACCGGAAAATCCCCTCTATTTTCCATTGACCACACCCCTATTATCCATTGACTACTTCCATTTTTCCCCTCTAGCCAAACACTGGAACCCCGGAAAATGATTTCCAGAAATCATTTTCCGGGTTTCCAAATGCACCCTAAATGAAAGTTTGGCAAGGTGCAATCAGGGAATATTTGATGAAAGGACTAGGATAATTATGAAAATAATAAGAATAAAAGTGACTTACCAATTAGCCTATACATTGGAATGCCATGAGAAAGCCATAGACCAGTAAAACTCGTGCAAGCAGTATCGTAATAGGGTTGATCAACATCAGAAGCAGCACAAATCAGCTCGTGTCTTGATCTGGCGTAGACCCAAAATGACCAGGTCTTTTTCTCAGTATCTCTGCTTCTCTAGCTATCTGTATATCAGAAGGCCAGAAACTTTGCTGTATAGCCTTCACGATAAGGCGAGGAAGCAATGCCACAATGATTATAAGCAAAATAGTGAGCCAGTAACTTGGCAACAATACGAGTTGGTATATTGTACTGCAAAACACAGAGTATAAGAGTTACTTTCATGACACAAAACGCCAATATTTTAAATGTGTAATGGCAATTTTAAGACTCAGATAGGAAAGGCTAACCCATAATTTGGGAAGATCACGATAGAGTCCACTACCACCAGGCAGCCATATGTAATAACAATTGATCCCCATATTGCAATATGGGTATACATTGACCAGCGCTGAACATCCATTGCCAAGTGCATGTTGACAAGTATCACCACTGCAATTGTCCACAAGCTACCCAGACTCCAGATATCAATTGTACTCTCCTGATAGGTGAACAGGGGTACATAGAAGAGAACAAGACTTTGCCATAGAGTATCCATCATTGTAATCCAGAACAGATGCATACTGTAACTCTCCTGTCTATGGCCGGAAGCATAGAGTTTTGGATACTTGAGTAGAGTCCTATGACTTAAATCCTTGTCCAAAATACCAACAACAATAGTAGGTACTGAAGTATAAAGAACGGAATAAAAAACACTGCTCCAATCAGTCAATGCAGAGGTTGTTGAGAAGGCTGTGAACAAAATGTACCTATATGAAACAAACAAAAATAATCTTACTCAGAAAAGGAGTCATGATCAGCTGCATCACAACAGAGATGACAAACAAATATTAAGCACCATCAAGAAGTGACTGACACTGAGAATGAGAAAGCAAATTGGAAGATAATAATCATCAAATTCAGCAGTGAGTAAACTAATAACACTATTCATCATGTTTGTAAAAGCTCAGAGGTCTTGACCATGTAAGAACACAGAAAATTTCTAGCTGATGAACAAAATGGCCCCAAAGAAATGGAGTCTCCATTGGTCAGCATTGGAAGTGGATGCATAAAATAAAAAGCAAATGCAAAATGTCAAAATGAAAGAGGAAGAAAATTTACCAGAAAAGCATAAACACAAAAACAGCATTCCTATAAAAGTTATAAAGAACCAAGTAACCAATTCGCTGATAATTCCAATGCCCGTGCACCAGAAGCAGTCTTTTAAGAAAGCGAAACTGTCCCATAGCAAAATCAGATGCCATTACAGCTTGGCGCCCTTCTTGACCACATATTCCAACCCCAACATCCGCCATTTGGATCATTGAAACATCATTAGCACCTGACCAAAAAAAATTCAAATCAAACCCAGACAAAGAATAATGGGAGCTGCAACATGACAGGAAACCTAAGATCTTCAAGGAGAAATTGCATTGATCATTACATCCAGTATGAAACCTAAGCTTTTCGTGCAGAAACCAGAAAATGTTTCAAACTCAAGTTAAGGTACAAAATGGGTACAAATAGTATCAGCCACGCACCATCACCAATGGCTAGTGTCATATCATAACTGCGACTCTTTACTAGGTCCACAATTCCAGCCTTTTGCAAAGGTGCAACACGGCAGCAAAGTACTACTCTACATGATATTGCAAGGTCATAAAGCTGTTGAACAAGAATTATAAAACGTAAGAGATCATATAACAAAATATGGTCATATTGTTGTGCTGAATTATATTTCATACCTGAGCAAGAAATCAAGGGGCAACAGTAAATACTAAATATACATGAGATTTAAATTTTCACTCAAGAAAGAAAATTCCATACCTCAGACTCCAGCTCTTTCTCTAAAATATACACCAGACTGTTCCCATCAATAATGAGAGCTAAAGGTGGACTAAGAGTTCCTTCTTCATTTTCTGTATGCTCCACAGGCAGGTTAAACAACTTTGCATCAGGAGAAACTTCATGGTAACCAATTTCAATGTCTCTTTTCCATCTTGAGATCCAATTATTGCAACATGCAGACTTCACACCATGTTTAGCCTTAGCTTCAGACAATAGTCTTCTGCATTCATCTTCAGAACTGCCATTGATTATGATCCTATGCATGTCAGATGTCAAGAGTTTGCAAGAAAGACCAATAGAAATCGCAGTTTCTTGCTTATCACCAGTAAGAACCCACACTTTTATTCCTGCTTGCCGCAGAGATTCAATAGCTTCAGGTACACCTTCTTGTAGCTTGTCCTCAATGGCAGTTGCCCCTAGTAGAGTTAAGTTGCATTCAATTAGTGCTGCTGTTTGTCGTAATTTTGCAGACCTATCGGTCAATGATGTGCTGGCATCTTCATACAAGCATTGCCACTTCTCAAGTTCTTGACCTGTAAGATCCTTGGCAGCAACTACAAGAGTGCGTAGACCTTCTGAGGAATATTCATTCAAATGATTCTGTGTGGCATGTGCAATGCGGCCATCCCTTTCATTATCGTTCTTTAAAATGCTAAGCATTGAAGTATCAGCTCCTTTGACCAACACTTTCACAGTATTGTTTGGGAATCTGATAACAACAGACATTCTTTTACGGACACTGTCAAACTCATGAAGACCCAACACATCCAACCTGCAGTAGCAAAACCAACGGTGTAAATATTAATTCACAATCTAAAAATTGTAAGAAGTGGGGACAGTGTTGCAGAGAATCATGTACACTTCCAATGTCAAACCTAAAAATGCTTCATTTATACGGTAACCTCCAGACTTCACAGCATATTAGGTTAATAGTTCTTTAGCAGTGTTATTAAACAAAAGGTGCATCATAACGTGGTAGAGACATGACCATGACATAATTTGCAGGTGCTCTTTGGAGAGGGCAAATTAAATTATGATAGAAGTTGAAGTGAGATAGCAATCTACCTTAGTTTCTCACCATTGACATCTATTGAAATGTGCCCAGAAGTCCGCTCAAAAAGTGTATATCCATAAGCAGAAGCAGCAGCAACTAGTGCTTGTTCATCAGGAGATTCACCCTGATATTCAACGGCACCAGTATTACCACTTGGCTCATTCTTAGTGCCACTCGATGGACTCTGAGTAAGGATGGGAATCACAGTATTGCATGCTGCCAATGTCAAAAAGAACTCATGTGCAGCAATCCTTTCTTCCCCAGCTAAATCATTACTTAATGACTCCAGGAGTTCAAAATCTGTGGTGATATCTGACTTAAGCTTCCATCTTCTATTACAAGGTTGTGCAGCTGGTTTTACTGCACAAGTTCATTAGCAGGTGAGTATTTGCCCATGACGGGGCAAAGAAATACAGATAAGTAATGCAACACTTATCCTTTCTTCAATTATTTCACATAGAGCATATAACAGGTAAGTAATTAAATCACAATCAAGAAAGCCTAAATATAGAATCAATAAGAAAGCCAGATAGGTTGAAATATTATTGAACAAAGAAAAAATGTCTGGCATATGCTGGCCCCAAATAAAGAAAACAGAAACTTAAAACATATTACTCCATAGTTATATTTATTGGGTAGCTAATTATAGAACATGTTAAAGACTGGACAGTAAAATAAGGAAGTCAACTATCCCTCTTAAAAGTATCATCCACCTGATTTTGATGATGGTTCAAAACAGTTATGACCAAGCAATGAAGAACAAGAAATTAAATAGTATTTTCAAACTACAATTGTGCATGTGCAGCAACATCCTGAATTATCTTTAAAATACAGAGCCACATAATAAGAAAATATTTGTCCCTACAATGTAAAACTTAAGATCTATATATCTATTTAATTTTCTAAGTTAACCAACTTCCCCCAAGCCAAAATTGGACTTTTAGATCCAAGAAAGTCAATAAAATAAAAATATTAATCTCTTATAGTATATCATTATCAGAAATGTTCATGAATGGAAGTCTGAGCTTTCAATTAACTTGTTGTGTTACATAAATCTTCAATCATCTTCAACATGTCTAGAAAGTCTTTAAAGCTTAAAGACAGTCAACAGAATTTACAGTGTCAGTTTTATAGAGCCAAATCATGCCAGTGATAGCAAATCTCTGTTCAAAAATAAGAAAGTTGACTTAAAAGTAATGCATGAATTTTTTAATCATACCTCCAAGGTTATCAGCAACAGAAACAGAACTTCCATAGTTTCTTCCCCATATACTTGCTCTTTTGAATTCCATCTTATTTTCAGTTAGTGTTCCAGTTTTATCAGAAAAAACATAGCGTATCTGACCCAAATCTTCATTAATATTCAAGGATCTACACTGAAACCTTGAATTAGAGCCACTGTCATACATATGCCTATCTCCAATCATGAAATATGACTGTCCCAATCGAACCAACTCCATAGTGATGTAGAGAGATATTGGAATCATTATCTGAAAAACTATGATTGAACTCAAAAAAGAGAAAAAGGTTTCCATGGGTATCCCATAATATTTATACAACTTCGACTTCCGTCCAGTATTCCTTTTATCAAAATATATTCTCCTGTAATATGGCAAAGTATCAAGCTGCTCCTTGTGGCGCTTCAGCCATAGACCCATTCCAACTGCTACAACCAGACACATTGTGAAAAGAAAAATAGACAACCAAAGGGTTTCCCTATTCATGTATGCTTCCAGTCTGCTCCTTTTAGATGGAGATGCAGCACTATTCAGCATAGCTTTGGTCTCCTGTCCAGCATAAACCACCACACCAATTGCCCATTCTGTGTTCTTCAGCTGGCATCCACGCAAGATAATATTTGATTGGCTCAGAGATAATCGCTGCCCTTTCACCTCCATATTGGCAGTGAATTCATAAATATTCCTGTTAGGTTGTTCACATCTGATAACCCCAGAAATTTCTGCCCCTTCATGTACTAAAGAATTTGTTTCTTGCCTAGCATACCTTGTCTTCAAGTTTGATTCACCATCTAAATTAATGGTTTGTATGTAAGCAATTCCACTATGATCACTGGTCCCTAAAAGCACCATATCACAAGGAATTGTCTCGTCAGCAAGGATCCTTACAACCTCACCAGCACAAATCTTCTTCCATTTTTTCAATTGAAATTCACCAGAGTGAAGGACTAGAGCTTCCCGGTTATTCTCATTCCTATCTGATCTATGTCTTCGCCAATCCTCATAACCATCTTTTATGGCTGTCACTGAGAGCACAAATAGAAGAGGGAAAAGGGACACAGTTCTGCCAAAAATAGCAAGTGGTGGAAGCTGGTTCAGAGCAGCAATAGCCAGAAAATATAAATAAGCAACCCGATGGAATTGAATGAAGAGGTTTTTAGGCAAGAAATTAAGTACAGTATACTTGCTAGTTCGTATCTCATTTCCAGTGAACTCATATTCAGAATTGGTCTTCTTAGGATCATTAATATGAATCAACCTTGGTACATGTAACAAATTATCTTCAAACTGCATACTTTTCTGAAAAAGCCTCTGAGATTTGTTTAACTTTTCCTGGGCACGGGATAATGTCACCCGGGAAGATGTTTCCTGAGATGAAGACACCCGAGATGGATCACTAGAAATTTCAAACGCAGCAATGTCACAATGATGGTCCATTACACCACCCCACGATACAAGACGTCTTCTCTCACGTGGGGGGCATTCCAACATATACTGTGAATAGAAGTGAAGCTCCGCAGAATGGAATTGCTTTCGCTTTTTCTTAGTATGAGAAGCACCAGTAGCAATAAGTGGGGCAACGGTATCCTCAAGGTCCCCCTTTACATCATCAAATCCAATTTCTTGTGTCTTGTCTAAAGATGAGGAAGATAATGAAGCATTGGGGCTTATAATTTCCGAAGAGCTTGTTCTAAGTGGAGATTGATGGGGATGGTCATTCGGCTCACAAAGAGGCTCGGTAGATGACAGCAATGGCTTGCTGGAAGTCATCTGGAGTCCTCCAGTGGGGACTCATTGGAGGATAGTAGAACTAAACCCTAACAGCAAGGTTTATTGGTACACCATCCACAATTTGACCCGTCCAAAGTATCTTCCTACCTGGAGTAGCCCAAGAAAATTAAAGCCTGTTTCTCCAAAAACCAATCTTTAACTAATGTTAGTGTTAAACAGGTAAGAACAATCAAATTAGAGGCAAATGCAATTTTATCCTCACCAGTCCATGTTTAATACTAAGTACCTTTTAAAAACTGCTGAATAAATTATACCCAAAACTGAACCTCCAGATAGCAGAGCTGCATCATTTTCATTATCACTATCAAAAAACCATTTTCTATAAATTCTGAGAAATAACATTGCAACCATGAAATAATGCACAACTAATAAAAACTAACCTTTTTTTCTCTTTAAGTCTAACTTCCAGAGCTAAGGAAGAGAAATTTCCTGCAAATGAGAAGAAATGCAGGGTCCGAGCAGCTTCACGTGAAGGAAGACAGATAATGCTTCACTCCGCCCAGCACGAAATTCCAGGGGCAGATAAGCCAAAACTGAAATACAGATAAACCCAAAACCGCATTAGGAGAAATCATTGCCGGGACGCAATCACGACTTCACGAGCATAAAATGACAAAGAAAGGAAAAAAACGCAAACCGCAGAGGTACCATCACAATCATCACACATTAGCAATTCCAATAAGAAAAACAAATCCGAAACCACGAAATCAGATAATCATTTGTCTTGTTCGAGGCGGGGAGAGAAATAGAGAGAGAGAGAGAGAGAGAGAGAGAGAGAGAGAGAGAGGGCCAACCAGGAGGTTAACCAAGCAGTGAAAACCCAATGACAGAGTGAGGCTATCGTCTGGGAATTGGCGAAAATTGAAGGGATTCAAGAGATCCTTCAATGCACTGAAAACGAAATCATAATGCAACAATTGTCAGATCTGAGAGAAGCCAGATCTCTGAACAGTACTCTCTGATCAGTTCATTACTCCTGATCAGTTTCCTTTTAAAATCAATTCATAAAAAAACACCAAAAATTTACAAAATTGGATTAGACTATGTACCCGCAATCGTTTCTTCGCGATAGTGAAAGCGACGCAGGCTGAGATCGATGTAGAGAGGACGACACGGAGAACGAGGAGAGAGATAAAGCGCGAAGAAGAGAGAGAGACACGAAAGGAGAGGCACAAATTTGGGCGTTAAAAAAAGCAAAAATTTAAAAATAAAATAAAATAAAACAAAACTCAATTGCTAAGAAAAAGAAAAAAATGAGAAAACCTCTCTCACTTTCTTTCTTTCTTTTTCTCTTTTTCTTTCTCCCTCGCTATGGCTTTCTTCTTCTGGTTGATATCTGTTTACTCAGTCTTCTTTGCCTTAGCCCATTAACTCCTCCATTCTTAGCTTTTTCCCTTTCCTTTTGACTTCTCTCATCTTAGGTTTTCTTTTCCTCTCTTTAAGTTTTATCTATTCATTTTTTTTATTTACTTAATAATAATATTCTATTTTTAACTCCTAACGGAAGCAATCTATTTAGTAATTTCTTTGCTTACGATATATAATATCTTCATTTTTATACGACTGACACTGGTTGGTTCGCTTGAATTGTACACACATAATTTAACTCGTAACTTATTATTTATTAACATGACATACCCTACAAGAATACAAACGTTCATTATTTTGTTTTTGTAGTCTATCGTTAATTCGGTAATTTCAATCAACAAAATTAATATTGTTAATAATTTATCACGCCAAATCTTTTATCTATCGTAATACAAACTATTCAAATGGAAATAACAATTAATTTAAGAATAATTTAATAAATATTTAAGTATACTGCCGTAGAACACAGTATAGTTCTAAGCACGGATTACATTGCTGTGTTTTTACCTACTATGTGGATTTGGTGCCTGCAATTTTGTCACTGTTTGATTTCAATTTTCGAAGTTCCATTCAATCTGAAGTTTTGAACGGAATCATTAAAAAAATGTATCAAATGTTTTCCTCTTATTGATTTTTTGAATGACGAGAAAAACTCGTAACTATGTGTAGAGTAAATCTCATTTTATAATCATAATTGATAAAGGATTCTATAATTGTTCAGCTCAAATCAATAAGACTATTATGTTAACTAAATAACACGTTTCTTAAATATTTGTTGTTAAATTATTGTTTGATCATTTTATTTTATGCACATTGATATATTTTTTTTCACGAAAAATTTTCTAAATGTCATCAAATTGTCGCTGCAGTTATTGAAGGTACTCGTATATGGTTATGTTTGGCAAACCTAGCTGAAAAGATAATGAAAGCTTAAGGCTCTGTTTGGCAGCGCTTATAGTTTATTTTAAGCTACGAATAAGTTATAAGTTATGTTTGGAAATGTTTCAAAAATAAGCTCGTAGCTTAAAATAAAAGTTTATTTTAGAACGCTACATTAGGTAGCGTAGCTTTGTAGCTTAAAATAAAAGTTTATTTTAGAACGCTACATTAGGTAGCGTAGCTTCGTAGCTTAAAATAAAAGTTTATTTTGGAACGCTACCTAAGGTAGCGTTTTAAAATAAGCTAGTAGCTTCCTAACTTTTTTCCATTTTATCTTTATTATTTTAAATAAATGACATTCTTTTACCTTTCTCAATTAAAATCATTTTATCTTTCCCTTTATCTGCAACTTTCAGTGCAACTATTATTATTATTATTATTATTATTATTATTATTATTATTATTATTAGATGAAGGAGATTCGCAATAATATTGTTATTTCATTATAAGATGCTAGATCATGATTATGCTAATAATTTTATTTCAAAATGTAAATTTTTTAAAAACAAAATGTTAAATTTTAATATATAAACAAACTAATTTAAATTTTATGAAGATGTCATTTTTTATCTTTTTACATTTATTAACTTATCAAAAAATTAATTTTACCAAACACTTTCAAGCATAACAGCTAGCTTAATAGTTCTTCAGTTTTCAGCTCCTAGCTTATAGCTTTTGAGCTTTCAGCTCCTTTTAAGCTTTCAGATACATTTTCAGCTAGGTGTGTCAAACACAACCTAAAAAAAAGTTATTTTTATTTTTGGCCATAAATTTATAAGTGTCAGTCCACTTTTAGTTGATTTTAGAAATATCGCATTTTGATTCTAGTATTAATGTATCATTGTGACATTATCATTTTTTTTGTCCTCTATCAACAAAATAGTTGAAATGTTGTTAAATACAATGACATTTCGATATTTTTTATACAAAATATGTTGACCAACTATATTTTTATTTGAAAAAATTTAAATTGTCTATCAAAGTGCTCTTGTATTTTACAATTTTTAAATGTTTTTGTCGATGAAGGACAACAAATGGCCCTATCACAATAATACTATGATCAAAAGGAGATGTTATTCAAAAAATGACTAAAAGTGAACTACCACATATAAATCTATGACAAAAAATGGAATTAACTTGCCAAAAAAAATTCATCCAAATATATAAAAACTAATAAAATGCATCAGAGATAAATTTAAACCGTTTTACATATTTTCATTTAAATTTAAAAAAGAAAAATGATATTTTTCCCTCCAAAGTTTTCCCTAATATTTTCTCTCATGATGTGGCTTAAAATTATTGGTGCCCATAACTTGGCATCTCCACCATTAGTTAAAAAAAAAAAAAAAAAAAAAAAAAAAAAAAAAAAAAAAAAGTAATTGTCCAATTAGAAAATGTCAAGAATCTTGTGCTCGCATGACACCTTTGTGGCTCCCCTTAAATGAAGGTCACGCGATTGAACTCCGGTAGTGAGATATTAACTATTTGGTCTTCAATACTTTGAGAAAGTATTCGGTAGTGGGATATTAATTATTTAATGGGAAAATCAACGATTTGATCCTTCAATTATTAGCGAAATATCAATGTAATCCCTCAATCGCTTATTCATCGATTTAGTCCCTGGAAATAACTGTTTTTAGTTGATTTAGTCCTTCCGGCCGTATTCCGTCGTTCAGCCGGCGAGAGCTCCGATTTTCCATGGGTATTTTGGTATTTTCTTGTCTTTAGTCTTCTTCTTAATACCTGGCGTTGAACTACACTCATCAAAGAGTCCAGAGAATCATATTTCAATGATTTTCTAGGAATTTTTTGCAAGAATTTGTTTGAGCATAGTAGCAAAAACAAATATACAGTCCAGTATATATATTACTATCCCCAAGCTGACTACTCTGAAATTTTAGATCAGGAACCAAAAACAAGACTGCTAATACAAATCTGTACATCCATAATTAAACAGGGCATACAAAAACCACATATCTGAGATAAGAATCGGCCATTGCGGGATGCGTCGTCGCCTCCGCCGGAGTGCGTTGGATTTGGAAATTAGTGCCTTCTCTCATGGAACCGATCTCCAATTCTTCTTCTACTACTTCATCTCTTCTTTTATCTTCTACTTCACCCAAACTGATTATAGGATTGTTTTAATCTCAATTAATTCGTTTATCGCAAAACGGCCGATTAAGGCGAGCCTCTCATCAATCGTTGCCATCTTCTCCCATTATGCTTCTGAAAACCCCACTGTCGGCTTACCTCGACCCTCCGCTGCCTCCAGATTTCTCCTTCGCAACAAATCTACTCGATCGCAATCAGATCTGGAATTTGCGTAACATTGAGGCGCGATTTCTAGAAAGCGGACATAATCTGACAACAAATCCCCCATCTGATCATCAATCGAAGCTTTTGGAGACCTCCTTAACGTTGTCGCTGATTTCGCGATCTCCGGTGACTTAATCGCCACTGGAAATTGTTCCACCGCCGCCCAATGTTCAATCCATTGGAGTATACTATCGTGAGTGCTCAGATCATGTACGACATGAAAGCAATCGGAGTTTCTTCGAAATTAAACACTATGTAATTCGGTACAAATCTGTTCTCTGTTTGGAGTCTTCAATCTCTTCAAATATGCTCTCTGTTTAATAAGGCGTCTTCGTGGAGTTTAGTTGAAGAAGAAGAAGACTAAAGCAATTAAATAGGGCAATAAGAAGAAGACCAAAATGCGAAATGACTATATTACCCATGCCAAATCGGAGCTATTGTCGGATTTTCAACGGGCTACAGTCGGAGGGGCTAAATCAACTAAAAACAGTTATTTCCAGGGACTACATTGATATTTCGCTAACAATTGAGGGATCAAATCGTTGATTTTCCCTTATTTAATTCTTTAGTCTTCAACACTTTAGAAAGTAGTATTTTGGTCTTCAACAATTTGAGAACGTATATAACAGATAAAATGTCTTTTAAAGATGGAAATATTTGAATAAAATTTTTTGAAATAATAGATATCATTACTCTTTTAAAAATTGACAATTTTCTTCCACACCAATCACCCTCCATGCCAAACGACATCTGAACTATATACCTCATAATTCAAAACACCATATGTATTTCCTGTATCAGATTGGAAAGGCAAAAGAAAAGGCCATTCATTCATTCAACAACAACCAACAAAACACAAAACTAAGCAAACCTAGGCATGTCTCGATTCATCATAGTAAACTGTTTATGTAGGAGAAACAAAAGTGGTATTGCTGTTTCTGTCCACAAACTCGTGGCTTCAAAGATGAACCCCAAAACACACTACAAAACAAACCCAACATATACAATAAGGCATTGTGCATGTTTCTTCTCATCCCCACCACCCCCCCTTTCTCCCAACCAACACCACTAAATAAATAATGTATAAATAAATCTTGATTTTTTTTTTCACTTTTGACCCTTTCCAACATTTGTGTCATTTCCACTTATAATTTCTACTATCATTTTTTCCACTATTACTCCATTTTACTTTAAATGTTTTTACCATTTTTAGTCTTTTCAAAGAGTTTTCAGGCTAAACATCACCTGAAATACCGTTGTGCACATGCCAGTTTCAAGTAATGCTTGCTCAAAAAACTCTTCAAAATGATTAAAAGTGATAAGAAATTCAAAACGGATAAACTAATGGTGGAAAAATGATGGTGAAAGATTATAGGTGAAAATATTAGGAAAGTTGAGTTACTAAAAGTGAAAAATACTCATAAATTTTGTTTCTTCTTTTTCATTCCTCTGTATCAAGATCTGAATTTGGGCTCGACGGTCGGATTCCACACTCCAATCCTTCTTCATCTTCAGTTTCTGCCGTTTCCTGATAGTATTTCAACAAGAATTGAAGAACAGTACATACTTCGATTTAATTAATAAAATCAAACTTTTTTCTGAAAGTAAATAAGTAAAAAAAAAAAAAATGAATATCTTGCCTTGGATTGATCTTCTTTCCCCTTCTTCTCTCTTTCTTTATCTCTGAGGGATTGAATCGGAGATATTCTCTGTCAAAATAATTCAGAATTTATTTACTATTTCGAGCAGGAGTAAACCCTAGAAGGATATTAAATTCATGGATTGAAGATTGCGATTCCTACCATACAAGATACTCGGAGCTCCTTCAATCGGAAGAGGCGATCGACCTCGAGCTCGAGCTGCTTCTGGATTTCTCCTCTGTTCATCAGCTCCCGCATCTGCAACTCCAGTGCCGCGTCTCGCTCCCGGAGCATCTCCTCCGTCTTCTGCTTGTCGATCCTCAACCGCTCGAGCCTCTCCCGGATCGCGCTGAGCTCCTCCGCCAGCGAGGAATCGCACAGCTCGATGTTACAGCTCGGCTTGCTCTTCGCCGGCGGCGGCGCGTGCAGGGGATGGACATTTTCCTTGTTGTTCGAGCTGTTGGTCAGTGAAATCTCGATCCAGTCGGGTTTCAGTTTGGGCTTGATTGCGTCGGCGGCGAGTGGAGTCGCCGGAGCGTTCTTTGGCTGGAGAGGCTTCCGGCCGGCTTTCAGGTGTTGGATCTGGCCTGCAGAGATGGGAGATTGAGCTAACATTTTGGAAGCTTTGACTATGGCAGCTTTGTGTGTTTGGGTGTTTTGTAGAATGTTGGGAGGTGAGAGAGTAATTCAAATTTGAAAGAGGAAGAGCGGACTAACGGCTAGTATAAAGTATAATTGTTTTGCTTTTGCTACCGACTTTCAGGAGAAAAACATATTTTACAAATTACGAAGATGATTAATTGAACATGGATAAGAATTTTTGTATAAAAAATGCTTAGTTTATTCTAACGTATTATAATTTTTTATTTTTGTATAAAAAATGCTTAGTTTATTCTAACGTATTATAATTTTTTATTTTTTTATAATATACAAAAATTATAACTCAATAGTAGAGTTTATCAATGCACACTCTAATGTAGTGGCAACATGTTTTTGGTATAATGAGTTGGAGAGAATAAAATTTGATGAAATATGCTGAGAATATTATCTTTGATGTGACATTTGGTGGAGGTTTTTGGTGTTTTGGTGTAATGGGATGGGGATAAATAAAATTTGGTATAAAAATATGCTGAGAATATTATCTTTGATGTGACATTTGGTGGAGATTTTTGGTATTTTGGTGTTAAATGGGTTGGAGATGCTCTCATGACGAGGTTATCTTGCTTGGCCCCACCAAAAACATCGTTCGTGCTTGCAAAAAGTGGATTGGTAAAGACTGGGAGGTGAAGATTTCTCATTGTCCATGTAAGCAGAATTTTGTGGCTGACGCTCTGGCTAAGGAAGTGGTGAAACGAAAGTGTGAGTGGATTGAATTTGATAGACCATTGGGTTTCATTTTGGGGAACCTTGAGCTCGATATAAGAGATACTGGGTGTTTCATTCCTGTTGTAATAACCGGGTACTAGCCCGATTATGGGGTTCCCCCTTTCGTCTACCCAAAAAAAAAATAATTATTATTGTAACACTAATTATAAATAATATATAATATTTTGTTTAAATTTTTAATATAATTATAAGTTGTAGTAAAAAGATTAACATTGTGTCATAAAATAAGTGATGAGTGGATGGAATATAATCCTTGTATGAGTGACATTGTCAATAGAAAAGTAAAAATAAGTACACAATATTAATCACAATTTTCCATAAACATCACTTTATTTAATTGTATCACTTAAAGAATCATGTTATATGTCTAAGATTGTATCGTTCTAAGGCAAAATCATAGACATTTTAGTAAAATAAAAGCAAAAATTAATACCTAAAATTTTGACACATCATAAAAGGGTTGATTTGTGAGTGATAAAATTAAGGATAATTAATATTTTTCTTAAATAAACCCTATCACTAACGCTAAAAATAACAAAAGTAGCATAAAGTGTTTGATATCCAATTAAAAGGAGAAAATGTTAGCTGCATAACATATTTTACCAAAATTTATCACATAAACCCAAACTTTTATCTATAATCTTTCACATTATTATCAAATTCGTCTCTTAATTTTGCAATAATAGTCCGTATATTTTATGCTAAGAAACAACTTAGCTATAGTATAGATGTAAAATGTTCAATCGACTCCTTGTGAAAAAATGCTTATTAATCTTTTTGATTTAAGCTGATAAATCATAAACAGTTTAGTTTGATCACAATCCTCAATTGAGTTAATGTTACAAGATGAGGTTCATTTAGAGTGTATTATTGATTAACTGATATGGGTTTTCCCACAAATCAAATATGGAGTATGATAGAGTTAATTAATACTCAACTTAGAGCGGGTTTTATTGATTTAGTCATATACATATTTTTGTGCTTAATTAGATCATTGACATTAACCCAACATGGTAGTTCAAGTGGCAAATGAACTCTCTTTGTGAGGGAGAATTCTTGGATAACCCTTAAACAGACATAGAAAGACCATGATTTTACCGAATTAAGTCCTCGACTATTAAAATAAAGGACTAAATCGAATGACTAAATTGAATAAAATACTATAATTAAAGACTACGTTGAGTAAAATTACTAAAGTATATGAATAAATTGAGTATTAATAGAAGTGAAATTATAATGTTATCTTAACATATGATTCAATTGGATAAAATTATTAAAATCAATGACAAAATATTTATTAACAAATTAAGAAAAATCACTGCAGTGAGATGTCTAAATTGAGTATTAGCTCAAATATGATATCTGCATGATCTATTAAATAATGACCAAATCAAATACGAAGTAGTAGCTAAAGGGACAAAAGAAAATCACTTTTCCCCTCTAAAGCTTTTCCTTTTTATGCAGATTTCTTTCTTTCTTTCATTCTTGTTCCTTGCACGCAACGGTGCCCTCTCAAGGGGGATTTGTTCTGCCCGTGAAGTTTTCTTCGCCAATAAGCACGAAAACATTTGAAATCTGAACTTCAAAGGGCAGGAAGTCCTTTTAATTTTTTTCTTTTTCCTTTTCTTTATCAATATTTTTGCTATTTCTTTAACAAGGAAACATGTTTCTTTAACTTTGCGGTGCCATTTTGACACAACAATGTACTTTAACAATTAAAGATCCCAACTTTATTAACTCCGTGAAAATTTCAAATTTGAGATAGTGGAATTGGTTACTTTAATATTTGTTCTGAACTCTGTATTGAAGTTGGTTTGCAATTGATATGTAATAATGTAATACGATAGTCTGTAATTTACGCTATAAATCTAGTCGTGTGACTCTAGCCCGTAAAGGACTACGAGGTACATCAGCATATGTTGTCTATAGTTGACGGTTCAAACCAAGAAGACTAATAGGTTGCTCTCACTTAGAATTGAACTTTAAAACTGTGTGGTTATCAAAACAACAGTCCAACCAACTTGACTGGGTTGTCTGTAACAAGGATATCTTCTTTTGGTGGAGTTTGGTTTCCTTGCTTTTTGGTTCTTTATTACCACACCTTAACTTGTCCTTGATTTATGGTATTGGTAGGATCATTGATTGTTGGAAGCATTGAAGCATTTAGAAAGGTTTAGGTGTACTATTTGCAGGTATCTGCCCATCTGCATTACCAATCAATGTTGCCTATATGGTTTCTTCTCTGCTTCCTGCTTTGACTAGTTAAAACTTGATACATGCCAAAATCTTTCTAACTTACTTTTACCCCTTGAACCATCTCCAATACTCATTTTAGGAGGGTGTTTTTTTATTCTTTATTTGTTTATATATATAACTGATTGTGCATTCTTTTTTTTTTAGTGACGAGGGAAACTCGCAACCACTAATCCCAAGGAAGCCCGAGGGCCCAAGCTCCCTCCTTGCTGCTGAAGTGCTCACTTTAGGTCCGGTGGTCGACCACTTGAGCTAGTCCTGTGTGTTGGATTCTCTTGTTTCCAATGCTATTATGCTAATGGCAAAACATTCTTGAAATCCATGTGAGATTTGCAAGGAGGAGGCAGCTGCTTAGCTTGTACTAGGATGTTTTGAATGTGCACATCCTTTGTAGGTGTAGACACTGTTAGCTAAGAAGCTTCATTAGAGCTTGTCTCTTGTAGTACTTTTGTTGTCTTGTAAATCTTCATTATTATGTTGGAAGTGAATCTGAAATTCTGAACTTTTTTTCTTCTCTTGATTCCTACCTCAATTCTAACACAACCAATGATTTACCATGCTTCAAAAAACCTCTGCAGCCAATATATTTTGCAATTTGCTAGAATTTATAATCTGGGTTCTTGATTTTCTGTGTTGAATTGAAGATTATGCTTTTAGTTTCTGGAATTCAGGGCTGTTCATATTGTAAACATGGAGATAACAATCTTTACAGTTTCTTGGTTTCTTGAATCTCTGCTGAAGCAAAATTCACCAGATCCCTCTTTCAGTTTCATGATTTGGTTTCTAAACAATCTTGAAAACCCTATGCAAGCATATTTTGCCTAAAGCTGTCGTTTTTATGATCTGGGATTCAACTAATCACATCTCTGTGGCTGCTGCATTGTTGTTTTGTCAAGATCCACACATCCACACAAGTAGTGGATAAAGGGAACAGTGCCACGTGGAGGAAATCTGGCCTCTGCTGACACTTTTGTGAAGGCACGTACAGATTCTTGCTGAGATGATGAGGAGCTAATTGCTGTAAGATCAAGATTCTTCCATGGCTTCCTTGCTCTCCCCAACTGCTGCCACACCATTTAACCAAAAAAGCCCTAAACTGATTTGCTTCTCCCCTTCAAAACCCACACTAAGCACCCTTCTCCTCCCCTTATCCCACCATTCCAAGAGGAAAACCTTGTGCCTCAATGCATTCTTTGATGGCAGTTCTTCATATCTAGACATTGCCTTGTCCCAATTCCCCGGGTTCGAATCCGGGTACACCCAGTTTCAGAGGGTGGCTGAGGAGCTGCCAGAAGGGCAGAGATGGGGTTTGCTGGTTTTTGCAGGACTGAGTTGGATATACTTGACTGCTAGGCCAGGTGTCCTCATCGGCGCCATTGATGCATACATTCTTGCCCCTCTGCAAGTTGGATTGGACAGTTTGAGTGGGAGGAGGAGCTTGAAGATGACAGATTTCTTGGTTGGTGATAAACTAGGAGAAGGGTCATTTGGTGTGGTCTATTCTGGTGTGGTTGTGCCCAAGAATGTCACAATTGATGAAAGAATCAAGAAAAGTAGAAGCCAGAGAGCCCTGGCCTCTGATCCTAGGTTCAAAGAAAAGGTCATTCTTAAGAAGGTACATTAAAACCATTCCCTTTTGTAGTTGTGTTCCTTTCTGGTACATTTTGGTTCATCTGTTTGTGTCATCGCCAACAGGTAAAGCTCGGTGTCCAGGGCGCCGTCGAGTGTGGCGAATTCGAGGAATGGTTCAATTACAGACTGTCTCGGGCTGCACCGGAGACCTGTGCCAAGTTCCTCGGAAGCTTCACTGCCGAGAAAACCAATTCACAGTTCACAAAGGGGGAGAAATGGCTAGTCTGGAAGTTTGAGGTACTCCAAAAACATAATCTCTATCAGTCTATCCTGGCATTCCCCCTCGGGGCTAAAACTCGATGTTGCAGGGCGATCGAGACCTGGCTGACTACATGAAGGACCGCGCCTTCCCTTTGAACTTAGAGTCTGCAATGTTTGGCCGTGTGTTGCAAGGGATGGATTCCATCGAGCGAAATGCGCTTATAATCAAGCAGATAATGAGGCAG